GTACAGAGAAAGTAAACTAATTTCCACGTTTAACGAGATTGGCCGCCTGTGAAAAACGTATGTGAACCCGCAGCTGAACTAGATTCCGATTTTAATGTGCGTAAGAAGGAATGACTTCGGCGTGAAATGTACGACTGTTGTTCATTTTTATATTTTTTAGAGACTTTTATCTACTTTTATCTACTTTTGAAGAGAAAGAAAAGTCATCTTATAGTTGCTTTAATAAATCACACTATTTTATATTAAATTGATATTAGATCGATTTCAAGTTTATCTAAATTTCATAAATTACTCAAGATAGAAGTAATATCAGTAGACAAACGTATAAGCAAAATAATTTTGATGCTGACTTGGAGAAATATAATTTTCATTAAAACTACATATAAATTTAAGGCAAATTGTAAGATAAATTTAAAATAATAAAGAAAAAAATGAGAATTAAAAATCTTGCAAACTCGACTTTCTTTATAAAGATAACGTGTAAAAAGATATGGGAAACGCAAATTCTTTTGACAAGGACATTCGAAATATTGAAAGCTTATAATATTTTACATCGTTGTTTGAAAAACTGATATCGCCTAACTCAACGATCCATACACCAATATAGATATCGCGAAACATAAACAATTACGTTCAAGAAGATAACTTAATCGTCATTGAACAATAACTGGCGTATATCTATCGGTAAAAAGTGAAGTAACTCAATTGTTGCGTCGACGTCAAGTAGGATTACCTTTGTTCTTATTTTGAGAACTCTGCCGTGCAATTAGTAAATTAAAAGCTACATAAAATCTCAATTAAAAGAATTTTAAGAATAATTTAATATTTCTCGTAACTTATTTTATCAAATTATATTGTTTGAATACCGAAAATAGAAAGATTATCATAAAAGGAATGATTCAATCATCAATAAGTTCTCCAGTTTATCATAATTTCCATAATTTTGTATTCGTTTTGTATTATCTTTGATAATTGATAATCGAAAATGAACGAAAACGAAAGAATTTCGTGGTAATGCACCACGATAACGGGTTATCGTGGCCGAACGTTTTTATCTCCGGGAATGCAATGACTCACAAAGATTTTTTTCGCGTTCGCGCGTAACCACTGTGACAACATTGTATAGACTTCCGATCTCTTCATAGTATAGAGACAAATTTCTTTAACGCGTTCCACCAAGTCACCGAGCTAAACACGTTTTATTCGAAAAATAAGTTAACGTTACCAACAATTTACGATGCATGCCAACTTGCAGAAAAAGAATAGCGTTATACTACTTCAAGATTACACACACATATATATATATATATATATATATATATATATATATATATAATATATATATATATATATATATATAA